TGCATATAACATTTGGAATTGACCCCAGCATGTGTTATGGGTTCTAAATCTATAAACATAGATTAGTATAGCTCAGGTCAGTCATACTCATTGTTTCCAAATTAAAGTTTTATTATATAATTGTGTGCTTGTGTTCTGGCGTATAAATTCAATTTGGTATTCATTTCTTGTATCTCCAAAGACGAAAGTTGTGAGTAATTGAAAAAAAAAAAGAAGAAGAAGAAACCACAACCAAAAATGTGTAACTCATGGAAAACATCAAGTGCTATAAAAAGTAAGGAAAAGAATAGTAAAGGCAATACAAAAAAATGGAAAAATAATTTGAAAAAGAAATATTTACACAGATACTCTCATTACCAATGAGCAAGTAAAAGTCATTCAACCTCATAAATGTTCTTCTAAATGAAAATTTGAACCTTAAATAGGTTCAAATTTGTCAGGTTGACTGAAAGAAAGAAAATAGGCAAAGGTAAGCATTTGTAACTAGAATAATGAGAATTTCAACTCCTAATTAGAGTATAGTTTGTGTACCAGCTTTGGAGAATTGTTTAGCACAGTGTATGGATGTTGAGAACGTACATATGTTTTACTAACATTCCATGTTTCATTGACAGAGTGTGATACAAATGTGAATGAAATTATTCCAAAACTCGATCTCAGAATTTATCTCTCTTAACCTCTGGAATTCTTTTTCTATATTGGCAAGGATCCTCTGATAACATATTAGAAAACAACATTTTTTGAATGCATAGGATTTCAATATAAAATATCAAGGATGGACAAGAGATTATTTACCAACATATAATAAAATAAAGTCTTGTAAGATACCATAGGGCCTGAATACCATAACCAATAAAGTTGTTACAGGGTTTTCTTCCTCAAGACTAACAGTATGCTTATTAGAGATGCTGTCCCTATTTGGTCACTTTTGTTGAAGATATGACTGAGTTGTCAGCACAGACTTTTCACTCCACAGCTGTGGATTGTCAAGTAGGAAGCCAATGAGTTGGTAATAATGATGGCTTGAGTTGTTTCTTGGCAGAGCTGGGTCCAAGATGGTGGATACAATCTGGTGATCAGAAATCATCCTGCCAGAGTGACATCAGGCCCAGGCTGGCAGGTAAGATACCACAGTGGAGGGTTGGCAAGTGACACTTGTTGAAGGCCAAGTACTGTGTGTGTTGGTGTGCATCTTTCTGGCACACATACTCCTAGATGGATCAAGAGAGGAAGATACATAATATCTCTTTTAACCTTAACCCTGTGCCAGCTACCCAGAAAGAAATATTTACTTACTGAAGCTTCTATAAGAAGTTTGTTCCTAATTGTTACAAATAAGAATCATTTGTCTAATAAGGCAATTAATGTTCAGTTGTGCTGAAAGGTAATAAACACCAAACATATAGGGACATCATATTACTTGCTATTAAGCAATTCAAGTAGAAAAATGAAATAAAGATGTGCGGATGTAGAGTTTTGAGAATATTGTACTTAAATGATCACAATATCTGTGTGCTTAGCCAGAAATTCATACTGAATCTCTTGCCAAGAGTCTTGTGAATAGTTTTAAGGTATTGCTGTCATGGCCCTACTGAAACCTCAAGGTGAGAATGGCAGAGAACACATGAGCTAGAAGATTCAGACACTCTCTAAATAGAAAGTTGACAAAATGTTGAAGAAACAAAACACTGATACAATTTGTCACACGTGACTTATGACATGTGCTCAGAAAACATTGCTCTGTATAGAGCATCCCAAATTAAAATATAGATAAAAGTGGCACTCAGGTCCCTTGATGCTCAGAAATATTGGTGGATGCTATGACTATATGTGAGGGAGAACCACATAGGAAGTAGAATGTAACTGTTGATATTAGCTACTTCAACCACTATTAATTTAAGCACAAGCATTTTTATGAATAAAGAACACTTAAGTCTTTTCTTATTGGATATTTTATTTATTTACATTTCAGATGCCATCCCCTTTCCCCATTTCACCTCCCTAGAATCCCCAATCCCATCCCCCCTCCTCATTTTTTATTTTATACCATTTTAACTACCTGCATGTATTAAGGTCAGATCTAGGTTGAGGGACTAACAATACAATAGATGTAAATAGTTAAGGAACAAGCAAGGCATTAAACTCAATTACTTGAACACTCCTGTGATCAGTTTCTAAGGGCTTATCAGGATGATCAAAGTATGTGAGCCTACTTCCCTGTCCTAGCCCAAAGTCATTTTCATGTCTGAAGCCTACTTCCTTGTTCGAGCCTAAAATTTAGATTCTTGCCTGAAATTACTTCTTTGTTATAGCCTAAGATTTAGATTCCTACCTGAAATTACTTCTTTGTTCTAGCCTAATGTCAGATCCCTGTGTGAAGGCTTCTTATTGTTTTCAAGAAAGACCTTATAATGTCATAGTGTAGTATACACTGAGATATCTATAGAGTCCACAGCAACATAACATGGTACTATATGATGGAAAATGGAGAGTATCTGTAATCTACAGAATAGTGTCAAAATTGAGTCTGACAGAGTTGTACAAGCTGCCAGCATGGCTTACCAATTCTTGAAGTTACCTATGGAGAAGTTGGCAATATCCATTCCACTTCATTAGGGCTGAGGATACACCCATCAGTATTAGCACTATTTCTTTATTAGCATTTATTCATTGTGCAAAACCTTGAGTTCCACAGATTTTTTTCATGTATATGATATAATTTTGCTATATTTATACACATTACACTCTCCTGGCATACACACACACACACACACACACACACACACACACACACACACACATATATATATATATATATATATATATATATATATATATATATATATATTTATTATTTGTGAATTTCCCATCATGTACCTCATGCACACTCATCTCCTTGTCCCCTCATAGCCACCATTCGCCCTTGCAGCCTTTGTCTCCCTGCCAAAAGTAAAATACACACACAACAAAGTAAAATACACACACAACAAAGTAAAATACA